ATCGTAATGTCTCTTCTGACACAACCCTATAGTCTCATCTCTTTGTTACTCTAGGTAACGCATACTCGTGGATATTTATATTAATATCATTTTCATGCTCTTAGGGTTGTGTCCTACGTCGATCTAACGACATGATGCAATATGGCACTCATCATCATCTAGCATGCTCAATATGGAAAACATCATCATATTAAGGTAAAAATCATGCAATCATCATGCTCATCATAATGCCACAACGTGCGTCAAACATATCAAGCGTCACTCAACAAAATATGTATATACCGCGCATATCATCAAGCATCATAATCCACACATCATCATAACTCATACAATTATTTAGCCTATCCTATAGTAAGGCCACTTACCTGGTTGGCCTTAGCCGAAGAATTCCCTAATTTATTTACGTAAGCTCCCGTTCCTCGAGAACTACACCAAATGTTGCCAAGGTTTGCTTTCTTTTGAAATGACATCTCTCGTCTACCATCTCTCCATTATCTGCCTTCCTTCTGGTTTCCTCCAGAAAAATATTTTCTTTCTATTTTTGTTTTTTTTTTTGGAGTTATTGATACCGAGGGAGGTATTTTAGGGGATGGACGGAGAGATTAAAGGAGGTGGTCAGTTTTTTTTTTCTTTTTCTTTATTTTCTTATTTTTATTTTAACACACACACACACATATATATATAACTAAACCCAACGGGGCGTTACATTATCGTTGGGCCTCGGCTTACTGGGCTGGGCCGCAAGAGTTTGGTTTGCAGGCCGGCTCAATTGGACCGTGGGTCTGGTCTGGGTTGGTTCAACTGAATCGTAGCTTCTGGGCCGATTTGAGGTTTGGGCCGCTGAAGTTGGGCTGGGCCAAAGGCAGAGGCCAAGGGAGGAACGGGCTGGCTCTCCCGGGTTCTAGGTTCGGGTTGACCCGGCTCCGTGGATCTCGTCTTCCTTACCCGACTTCGGCCGATTTTCCGGCGAGCTTTCTCTCTCTTTCCCGCAGCGTTTTCGTTGCCGATTTCGGTCCTCTTCCTTCCCTTTTCCTCTTTGTTCATCGTCTTTCTTTCTTTTCTGGGAGTTTTGCGGCCTAAAAGCTCCTAAAAGCCATAGATCTAAGAATCGATTAAGAAATCTAATTTTTCCGACCTCGGTTACCAACGACGACGCTTACGAAATAACACAAAACGCACCCTGAGTTATTGTGCTTTCGTTAGGGATCCCTCTTATGGTGGTAACAGGTCGTTTGGTGTTAGTTTGAGGGTGGTTTGAGGGTTCGTCGGAGAAACTGGACACTCGCCGACGTTTGTCCGAAATCTCTCTCTCTCTCTCCAAATTTTCTCTCTTTTCTCCCTTTGCAAGTGTTCTGAAACTTTGCAGGGTGTCGTGGGTTGAGGGTGGGCGTGTTGTGGCCATCGTTTCGCGTGGGTTCCGCAAAACTCAGCGGTCGCCGGAAAACTCGCGGGTTTTCCGGCGACTGAGTTTTTTTTTTTTTACTTTATTTTATTTATTTATTTTTATTATCTATATATATATATATATATATATATATATATATATATATTCCTTTCTTTCTGGGGTCGTTACAGAGGTGAAAGAATGTTTGGTATATATATATATATTCCTTTCTTTCTGGGGTCGTTACAGAGGTGAAAGAATGTTTGGTATATATATATATATTCCTTTCTTTCTGGGGTCGTTACAGAGGTGAAAGAATGTTTGGTATATATATATATATTCCTTTCTTTCTGGGGTCGTTACAGAGGTGAAAGAATGTTTGGTATATATATATATATTCCTTTCTTTCTGGGGTCGTTACAGAGGTGAAAGAATGTTTGGTATATATATATATATTCCTTTCTTTCTGGGGTCGTTACAGAGGTGAAAGAATGTTTGGTATATATATATATATTCCTTTCTTTCTGGGGTCGTTACAGAGGTGAAAGAATGTTTGGTATATATATATATATTCCTTTCTTTCTGGGGTCGTTACAGAGGTGAAAGAATGTTTGGTATATATATATATATTCCTTTCTTTCTGGGGTCGTTACAGAGGTGAAAGAATGTTTGGGACGTATCTTTGAATTTGATGTTGTCGTGTCTGAAAAGAGAGCTTGTGGCGAAAAAGTTAGAAAACTTGAATCGGCAAAACTTATTAAAAAGAATTGATCAAACACTCTGTTTGTATATTGCAACTTTATGATGTACTATCTATCTAATATAAATAATGATAATTAAAATAAAATTTTTAAGGTATACGTATCTCTTTGTTCAACTGCATATTAAGATGAGGTTCTTTTATTTCTACCTCATATACTTTGAAAACCAAAAATATTGATTTACTTATTAACTAAACTTGAGTATTGAAATGTGTCCTTCATGGTAAAACAAAAAATCAGCAAGCGGATATTCAGTTAGTATTGTGTTATCTCTTTTGGCCAATCACGACACAATTTTTAGACGTTTCAATCGTGATTTAAAAGACAAAGATGGAAAGAAAAAGAAAAAAGTATAATACAATAATAGTTGAAAATTTGATCAAATTTAATATGAAATAAAGAGAAGAAAAGCCAAAATTCAATTATATGAAAGTGCTGTTCAAAATATTATAAATGGAAAAAGACTTTTAGATGCGATCATAAAATATAATGCAAAAGACTTCAAAATGTTAAAAACGGACAGATGCTATAAAGCGATCCCTTCTGTTACAACAAAGCTCTCATATGCTCGGTGGATTTTAATTTCTTTTAATAAATTTTGTTCGTACATGTTTGGTAATTTCTATTAACTAGGATGTGGAAAAATAATTATTCCTAACCATTCAATTACCCTAGAATATCCTTGCCATGGAACTAGAGCATTAAGAGAATTTACTTACTCCCTCTCTTCTCTCGAAAAGAACAACTATATCTGTAAAGTGACCAACTAAACAAACATGTAAATTATTAATAACAACTCTTTAACAAACTAAAATCACATCCTTAACCTAATAAAGCTATATAAAACTCTTTCGCATCCCCTGTAAGTTTTAGTTCTTCATACAAATTGAATCAGAAAGGAAATCGACATCTTAATCATGAAAAATTAATAGAATAAGAAAAGAAAGTAAGGGATTAGAGAGTTATCAAATTTTGTTGTTATCGTTTAATTGATGTTCTCTTCATTTGAGCTCTTACGTCCACCTCTTTACCTTAATCTATCTTTCTTGGTATTCTTTTTCTTCTGCTATGAACATGTGCTGAATTAGGGTTATTCTTCTTCTCTGGATTCATAGAGTAGAGCTCTCTATTGTCTACTCCACTTTCCCCTTTGGTGTCTCTCCCTCTTTTAATGAATCCTTTTTTCATTATATTTTTCATTGCTTCCCATTTTGGGCGGAAAAAGAGTAATTCCTACCTAGGAGCCCTCGCTTATTTGGATTATAATTTCCATGTCATTCTTGAAAAATTTTGTGTTCTGAATTGCTTCTTCATCGCGGTTAGCAATTTGTTTCCATATTTGCCAGCAAAATTATTTTTATATCTGCTACAGCATCATGGTTCAACATAAATGTTTTAAAATTTTACCAAATAACTAAATAAATGTACAATTAAGTTCGATTTATGCAAATTAATATTCTTTTCATGTTGAACTACAATCGACTATTTCATGCTTACTAATTACAACAAATAGAACAATTAATGAAAAAATTGTGAGTATGAGTAATAAATTAATTACGAAAGGTTTGGTATAACTCTAAGAGTTATCAAATTCACCCTATAAACATCCAAAAAATAAAAGGAAGGGGTGAGTATATAAATATACCCAATAAACAACATACTTATTAGCTTTCATTGCATCCTTATACTAGTATGTATCCACCACTTTGGGCTCTAGAAACTCATGCCTAGTCTCTCCTACTATCTAAGCATTTGGGGTGCCTTCAAGTTTCGAGTGGTACTTTAGGTACTCACATACCCACTTTATGTACGTTGGGGGTGGTTCATGTTTGCAATGGCTTAGCCATTTAGCGATAGCGTGACAATTCAATTACTCTTCTTTGTAATTACATACTAATGGAATGTGAGGTAAGAAGTATTTCTTTATATCCTTACTACGTCTTAGTACTTACCATCTTAGGAAACAAAGAAAATGGAAGAAAACAAAAATTAAGTCAAAATTATAATGATAATGTTCTTTGTGTCTAAAGTGAAACTATTAAATTAAAACTTACACTTGGGGAATAATTTAAGCTGTTTTTTTTTTCTCTGCAGTAATTATTGCTACCCTATATAAATAATTTGAGAATAATTAAACTTTGCAGCAGTCTAGATCTAAAAGATATAATAATAATTCTTGTACATGGATTTCATTAACGTCTTATTTCTTTAATGATTAATGCTCAATAAGTATAATTGATCATATTAACCGTTTCTATGAGGATTAAATAAAATAAATGAAATAATGATGATACATTCAGCTAACAAGTGAATCTCGAGTCTACAACATGGCCATTTGCTCTAGTGGTATGATTCATTATTCTTTAAATAAAAAAAAAAACAAAAAAATGCAAAAATAAAATTCTATTAAAAATTCTTTTAAGTGGGTGAACCCTTATTCAATAATTTTTCTTTCTTCTAACTTCATATCGTGACGAATCATATTCTTAAAAATAAGATAGAATTGTCCGATATGAAAAATTTGTTAGGCACACACCTATAAATACCATACTACTACATGAAGAAAGGTCATCACTAAATTTTTCTTCGCATAATATTGAATATTACAATGGCCATGGTTGCTCAGATTGCTTCAAATGACCCAATCAGTCAATTGAAGATTGACGGATGCCTCATTTGTCCAAGCAAGTGGATACAAATTCCTGATGTCTCAGAAGTCTGCGTGCAAAATATTGCAAAGTTTGCTGTGCAGGGCTACAACTTCACATAAAGAGAGTTTCAAATACAAGAGCATTAAGTGTGGTTGGTTTATGGAGCTGAAGAGTGAAGACCTGGCCTTCCGCCTCTATATTGAGGTGAAAGACTGTTTGGGACGTATCTTTGAACTGGATGTCGTAGTTTCTGAAAAGAAAACATATTTCGAAAAAATCAGAAAGCTTGAATCGGCCAAACTTATTAAGAAAAACTAATCAAACACTAGTTTGTTCGTTGTAACCTTATGAAGTACTACTACCATTGATTATCTAATATAAATAATAAAATAATAATATGAAATAAACTTTTAAGGTACACTTATCTCTATGCTCAATTATATAATAACAATGGGGTTCTTTTATTTCTATGGCATACTTTGAAAACAACAAACATTGATTTATTTATTAACTAAAACTTGACTATTGAAATATGTCCTTCATGGTATTGTGTATCTTGGTCTGTTATGATACAATTTTTAGAGCTTCGAATCTCGGATAGTGATTTAAAAGACGAAGATTGAAAAAAAAAAAGTATAATAAAATAAAAGTTGAAAATTGATAAAAATGTAATATGAAATAAATATAACAAAGGGCAAAATTAAAATTCCATTATAAGACACTACTGTTCAAAATATTATAAATGGAGAAACGAGTTTTAGATACAATTACAAAATAAAATGCAAAAGACTCCAAAATGTTAAAAATGGCTTGATGGTACGCAGCAATCGGTTCTGTGATATTATAAATAGCAAGTAATAAGTAAATTATTGGTTCCACATACAATTTTTTTTTTTTTTTTTTTTTGTAACTTTTGTTGCTGAAAATTACGTGAGTTTTTGGTATCATTCAAATGGTGTCGGTAATTTTAATCTAATTAAACAAAATTTATGCAAAGTTTCACTGCTTTAAAAAATGAGAGAGGAATGAGAAAATGAGCGAGGAAGGTTGGGGTAAGAGAGATTAAGTTTGTGGTGGATTTTAGTTTCTCTAAGGATCATGTACGTGATTACTTCCATAATTGTTTTGTAATTTCTATTAAGAAGGTTATAGAACAAGAATTATTCCTAACCCTTCAATTAAGTTCAAGTATCCTTGTAATTGATAGAATTTCCTTACTCCCTCCCTTCTTTCGAATAAGAGAACAACTATATATATATGTAAAGTAACCAACTAAACAAACATGCAAATCATTCATAACAACTCTTTAATAAACTAAAATCACAATGCTTACATCCCAAAACTATATAAAACTCTTTCACCTCCTTTATAAGTTTTAACTCTCCATACAAACTGAATTAAACAGAGAAATCCACTAAGGATTATGAGAGTTATCAAGCTTTTTGGCTGATAAGATAAGGAATCACTTCAAGGGGAATAAGATTCAGATTACCTTGTTGATCGAATATCTTAAGGCAAGAACACTTGTTTGAGATTCGAATCACTCCACAAGCAAGATCGATCGTATCTAGCTTGAATGATTCTTGTTGATCAAATATCTCAAGACAAGAACACTTGTTCGAGATTTGAATCACTCCACAAGAAAGATTGATCATGTCGAGCTTAAATGATTTTACATGCAATCTAAACTACATAGAATTGTAAAGAAATTTAGTCATTGACTAAAGAAAGTACAAGTACTTATTTTACTATATTTTCAATCTACTTATAAATACAACATACATGGCTTTATATAGCCTTAAAATGAAAGCATTCCAAGAGCGGTAACATTCATACTTAATGACCATAATTACCCGTATGTAATTGTAACTAAAGTAAATAAAAAGTCTTAAAATGTATTAATGAGATACAATAACTCTAAATTATTCTAAATTCTAATTACTCAAGATTTTTAACATGAAACTTCTTTTTTCTTTCGATGTGGCATGAATTGAAATATCTTTTGATAATTTCAACAATATTTTCTTCACATCTTCATTGACGTATATTGTATGATTGCTGTTTCTTGGTTCATATCAGTTGCTGTCCTTTAACGAAAGTTCTCTTCATTTGAACTCTTACGTCCACCTCTTTGCCTTAATCTATCATTCTTGGTCTTCTTTTCCTTATGCTATGAACACCCGTTGAGTTAGGGTTATTCTTCTTTCTCTCTAGTTTTACAGCAGTAGAACCCTCTATTGTCTATTCCGTTTTTCCCCTTTGGTGTCTCTCCCTATTTATAGTGAATCCTTTTTTCTTTATTATTGTTCATTGCTTCCCGTATTGAGTTGAAAAAAAAAAAAAAGGGTAATTCATCCCCCTAGCAGTCCTCGGCTCATTTGAATTATAATTTCCATATATTTCCAAAAATTTATGTTCTGTATTGCTTCTTCATCAAGGTCTACCAGCAAAGTTATTTCCATATTTGCTACATCCATATTTGGTGCAAATTGATATTCTTTTCATGTTGAACCAAATAGACTATTTCATGCTTATTAATTAGAATAAATTGAACAATCAAGAAAAAAATGGTGAGCATGAATGCAGAAGGCTTCGTATAACGGTACTTTTGGAGAATTATCAACTTGCATCCTCCATACATCCAAAAAAGAAAAGGAAAGGGGTGAGTATATAAATATACCTAATAAATAACCTACTTATAAGTTTTCATCGTATCCTTATACTAGTAGATATTCACCGGCTTTACTTTGGGCTCTAGAAAGTTCATGCCTAGTCTCTACCACTGTCTAAGCATCTGGGGTACCTTCAAGTTTCAAGTGGTACTTTAGGTACTCACATACCCACTTTAGGTACGTTGGGGGTGGTTCATGTTTGCAATGGCTTAGCCATTCAGCGGTAGTGTGACTGTTCAAATACTCTTCTTTGTAATTACATACTAATGGTCCGTAAGGTTAGAAGTATTTCTTTACGTCCTCAAGTTTTAGTACTTACCATCTTAAGAAACAAAGAAAATAGAAGAAAAAACAAAAATTAAGTCAAAACTATAATGATAATGTTCTTTGTGTCTAAAGTGAAACTATCAAATTAAAACTTACATAATTTAAGCTGTTTTTTTTTCTCTGCAGTAATTACCGCTACTTCTATAATAAATAATTTGAGAATAATCAAACATTGCAGCAGTCTAGATCTAAAAGATATAATAATAATTATTGCACATGAATTTTATTAACGTCTTATTTCTTGAATGATGAATGCTCAGTAAGTATAATTGATCATATTAACAATTTCTATGGGGTTCAAATAAAATAAATGAAATAATGATGATACATTCAACTAACAACAGAATATGGAGTCCACAAAAATGGCATTTGGTTCGAGTGATATAATTCATTATTCTCTAAATAGAAAAAACAAAAGAATACAAAAATGATATTCTAATAAAAATTCTTTGGAAGTGGGCGAACCTTATTCAAGAATTTTTCTTTTCTTCTAACTTTATATCATGACGAATCATATTCTTAAAAATAAGATAGAATTGTTCGATATGAAAAATTTGTTATTATTTTCACATTGGCACACTCCTATAAATACCATACTACTGAATGAAGAAAGGTCATCACTAAGTCTTCTTCATATAATATTGAATATTACAATGGCCGTGGTTGCTCAAGTTGCTTTAAATGATCCAATCAATCAATTGAAGATCGATGGAAACCTCCTTTGTCCAAGCAAGTGGATACAAATTCCTGATGTCTCAGAGGTCTGCGTGCAAAATGTTGCAAAGTTTGCTGTGGAGGACTACAACCTCGTACATAAGGAGAGTTTCAAATACAAGAGCATTAAGTGTGGTTGGTTTATGGAGCTGAAGGGTGAAGACCTGGCCTACCGCCTCCATGTTGAGGTGAAAGACTGTTTGGGACGTATCTTTGAATTGGATGTCGTAGTTTCTGAAAAGAAAACATGTGCTGAAAAGATCAGAAAACTTGAATCGGCAAAACTTATTAAGAAAAACTGATCAAGCACTCGTTTGTACTTTGTAACCTTGTGGTGTACTATCTATGAATAATAAAATAATAATATGAAATAAAACTTTGAAGGTACACGTATCTCTATGTTCCAGCTATGTGTTAACAATGACGTTCTTTTATTTCTACGGACATATACTTCAAAAACAATAAAATTGGATTTAATTATGATCAATTTAGGAATGAAGTGTTTTTAGTATAATTTATGATCAAAACATAGAAAAAATATTTCTGTCCAAAATATAAAACTCAGTAATCTTAGATTGACGATCAACAAAATATCATCTCGTCTGAATAAACTCGTGCTTCCTTCATGTAACTTGTTCAAAATCCCTCCAATAATAATATACTAAAAATTTATTACTTAATTCCAAAAGAACCTATCAAATTTGATGAAAACTGAAATTCATAACTTAAAATATTTACCTTCAATTTTTCATCGATTCTTGACGGATTTTAACAAATCAAAAGTCGAGAATAGTTCTCCTAAAGTTACTGAGCATTATAGTAAAATTTTAAAACGAAGAATCAAAAGTCAAAAGTCAAATTTTGGATCGTGATAAAAAAAAAAAAAAAAAAAGACAAGTAAATAAAATGAAGAATTATAGTAAAATTTTACAATATTTAAAAGTAAACAAGTCCGTTAGAGATATTTACAAACAAAAAAACATGAAGAAGAAGAATAGGATTTGAGCTACAAGTTGAATTAAGTACACGATTCCAAAATTTAGAGAAATTGACACTTCAGGATGGATTCCCTCTACGAGCGCACAGCTCCCAAACACTTCTCCACCTCAATCAGTTGTCAATAATCACTTGAAAAGAAAAGTTAGATAAGCTAAGTATAAAATATTCAGTATGTTCCACATGTTTTTTCTCTAAGCTCTAAAAAAGTTAAGCCTAAACACTACAATTATTTAAGCCTTTCAAGAAGGCTCAAAGTTTTAAGTAGTTCTCTCGTCTAATAGTTTTAAGTAGTTCTCCCATCTAATAATGGATTTGAATAGGGGGAGATCTACTAGATTTTAAGGGTGTCTACTAGATTTTAAGGGTGTCTAGGTAGCTTAAATTATGGACTCACTAACTCAGAACTATTATTTTAGCTTCTCACGGATTTTTATGTTGGGAGTATTAGGGTCTAGACCTTTGATCACCTCTCACAATTTTAATGTACTCAGTCTACAGGTGACGTTCTGATATAAGTAATCGTTTAACCGGCCTAACTCCAACACCCTAATCTTATCTCAGTGTACACATCTAGGTTCAACCTGGAGATAACATTCATCGATCACCTTGAGTACAAATCACAGTATCTCATCGTCCTTTCAAGCAATGCAAAAAATTTAAAAATTTAAAAATTTAAAAAATAAAATCTCATCCCTGTGATGTCTAGTTCATGCATATTCTAACCACCTAAGGCATGATATGAATGGTTAATTACTTGGGTGATGCCTATAAGTATTATTCGAGAGGGAAGTTTGAATGGTTAATTACTTGGGTGATGCGTGCCTTCCCCTTCTTAAGCTTGTTTTTCCGTTTGCTAAGTACTCCAAATTTTCAAATGTTTCTCTGATAGGACCTATTTCAAACTTCATTGTCTAGTATTGAAATTAGGGGAAAAAATTATACAAGCAGAAGTTGAATCAGGTGAAAAATATCCTTTTACGTGCCCTCACGTGCCTCCCATGCTCAGGTAGGGTATCTCACACGTGCCTACACACACGCTGAGAAACGCGTTCTTGTGCTACAAGTAGGCCAAACGATTGAGCACCAACATATGTAGATTTTGTTACATTTTTTGGCGTTTTGATATGTGCCCTCCACGCGTGCATCAACATAATTTTATTCTTCTAACAAATCATAAAAATTACTCTCCTTTGTGACAAATTTTTTTTTGTATGCATAATCATAAAATTAGATCATGCATAAAAATAATAACTAACCGTCATAATCAATGTGAATGTTTGTATATAGGTTTTATTGTATACTTAATATGAGTATATATATATCAATAAAATATATTCCTATATATTCCAATTGAGATAAGTATATTCCAAAAAGGAAGATTCAAAGTTTTCGTATGATTTTTATATTCTCACTCAACCTATATAAAAAAGGGAGATTCATAAAATTAAATGTTTCTTCTTTTAATTTTATATCGTGCTATCCAAGAATCATATTCTTCAAAACGAGACAGAGTCATCTAATATGAAAATTTGATATTATTTTTACATTGGCACACTCTTATAAATACCAAACTACGAAAGGAAGAAAAATCATCACCAAGCTTTCTTCACAATATATTGAATATTACAATGGCCGCGGTTGTCCATGCTCCAAATGACCCAATCAATCAATTGAAGATCGATGGAAACCTCCTTTGTCCAAGCAAGTGGATACAAATTCCTAATGTCTCAGAGGTCTGCGTGCAAAATATTGCAAAGTTTGCTGTGCAGGACTACAACCTCGTACATAAGGAGAGTTTCAAATACCAGAACATTAAATGCGGTTGGTTTATGGAGCTGAAGGGTGAAGACCTGGCCTTCCGCCTCCATATTGTGGTGAAAGACTGTTTGGGACGTATCTTTGAACTGGATGTTGTAATTTCTGAAAAGAAAACGTGTGCTGAAAAAGTCAGAAAGCTTGAATCGGCAAAACTTATCAAGAAAAACTGATCAACCTTGTATCCTTATGATGTACTATCTATGATTATCTAATATAAACAATAAAATAAAATAAAACTTTTAAGGTACACGTATCTCCATAGTTAAACTATGCATTAACAATGAGATTCTTTTATTTCTATCGACATATGCTTCTAATACATTTTAAAAAAGGAAAAACAAGTATGGAGTACCAAATGAGCGTATCTTAAATCTAGCTTTTAAATTTCTTTTCCATAAGAAAAATCATAATTTGAATATTAGAACTATGGACCCGTCAATATTTTCAAAACAAAACCTTTCACTCGATCAAAACTTCCAAAACATCAACCTTTCAGTTCTCAAATTTTTTCTCAAAATTCTTCTTCTATTGTTCATTTCAAGAAATGATTTTTGTTCGATCATCGTTGCTCTTAACCGAGATTCAGGTTAAGCTCTATCTCGGAACCTTATGAGGTTAGAAGTAAAGCATCTTGAGGTTGACGCATCTTGTTGCGTGTGGAGAAACGCTCGGAACCAAAATAGCTTTCTTCAGAGGTGTTTCTTGCCCCGTCCTCCTGTCCCTGCATAGCGCTTAAATTCCATGGGACTGAAGATCCCATTCAAACTAATTTAAAATTGGGACTTTTCCCTATAGGCAAAATTAGTCTATGCCAAATGCTTTTTGTACTCATAACGAACATATTGCAGTTCTAATATCCAATCGTGTATGACTGAACAAGCTTAGATTTCGTATGCGTTGTGTTCGATTGACAAAAGAAAACGTCACCTAAGGTCTGACGAAGTCATGAAGACGAGCGAAACATGTGAATGGAGCTTGTATTTTCCTTAAGGCTTGTCATGAGCGTGTCAAGATCATGACTCCGTACAGTTAAAAATGTACGAGCATGACAACTAGAATCCATTTCTTCTATCATTTATTCAACATGGTTATCGGTCTCAATAATCCATGTCTAATTATCATAATGGCAAATTCTGATCACACACCATCCAATGCTCGATCTCATTAACTCATGTATATGATCAAAATGGAACATGCTAATTATATAACATCTAATAGTGAGGCAACTGATTATCAAACTTTGGCAAAGTGGGTATTTCGAGTTTCGAAAGCTCTTTAGGTACTTTCGGTAATGACATCTCTAAAAGATTTCTTGCACTCACTTTCTGAATTGAAGAATCAAAGCTCAATAACATAAAAGCACTCAATATAAGGGAGACGATACAAAGGTGGAGAAACAGAGACTAGCCATTTTAACACAACTGTGCTAAATATAGATTTCCGATCCTAAAATGAACTTGATTTGTTGATGGTTGCTACCATGATGACCTTTTTATAAATAAAAAAGACAAGAAAAGGAAAAGGATTGAAGTTAAATTTCCACTTCTATGTAAGATAAAGCTACATAGATCACACCAAAAGAAATATATATATATATATATATATATATATATATATATATATATATAATTCAATTATTCTCATATAATATAGTTTTATAAATTTTAAAGACCATATCTTAAAAGTATAGAAACACAGATAATTAAAAAGAAAACATACATAAATCACTCATACACTTTCTAGAAACGATAATTAAAAAGAAAAAAATATATAGTTTTTTAGTCGTATATGTGTATGTTTAGTTCCACTCTTGTAAACCAAAGTTGAATAAGGTATTCAAGGTTTAGTGGTAGATGTATGTGGTGGGTTGAATGAAGGGATAGGAATGTCATTTGGAAGGGTAGGCAAAACAGGCTTTGGGAGAGGTGTTAATTCCGGCAATTTAGGGAGTTCAGGTTTAAGGCAAGTTGGGCAATTTTGGTACTTCGGGAACCTCAAGTTTAGGTAATTGAGGTAATTTTGGGAGCTCAGGTTTCGACAATTCGGGTATTTTAGGCTTTTCCAAAGGAGGTAACAAAACCTTCGACAATGGAGGAACTTCGGGCTTTGACAAACTGGGTATTTCTGGCTTCGAAAGCTCTTCAGGCACCTTGGGTAGTGGCATCTCCAAAAGATGTCTCGCACCCACCACCGTGACAAAACAATTGAAGCTCATCAACATAAAAGCACTTAATATGAGAGAAGATACAAAAGTCGAAAATTAAGTAGCCATTAAATTTCGAAATAATCAATATCAATCGTGAAAGGAACTTGACTCGTTTATGGATGATCTCCATGGCTAGGATGCAGAGGTTTTTATAGATAAAAGAGACATACGATACATGCGTTGGAGGAGATGATGGGTAGAAAAATTAGATTGTTAGTTCAACTTTCCCACCTACTCGTATCTAAACTGCAAAGTGGCCTCCTAATTTACCATCTTTCTTTGTAAAATAAATATATTTATTCTCTAATGTTCTTTGATTATATTATTTATTTATATAGAATTATTGAGGTCGGATACCCATTTAGGAATAGCGACCGTTGCATGATTAGGATAAACATAACAATCGTTTTCCTATCTGACCGTCGCAGCATTATGATAAACATAATGATTGTTTTCCTGCCTAACCGTCACAGTATTATGATATCTATAATGATCGTTTCTTGCCTAGCTGTCGCAGCATTATGATATCCATAATGATCGTTTTCCTGCTTCGTAATATACGCATCCGTACCATCGTAAAAAAGGTAAGGGGTATCCTCCAACATGAGCACACAATAATGCATGAGGTCCAACATTTCTCTATTTTCATTATCAATTAATACACCTTCATATAATATCATATCATGAATCATAATAGTCACGTAGCATATTTCGGGCGTGCCTTCAACACATCTTAGACTATGTAGAAAATTTAGGATCGTTACACCTAATCTTCTATTGAATTTAAATATGCATACACATATTACAAGTCCAATAATCGGAAGTAAACTTTGTATTAACATTGAACCAAATACTTACCTAACTAGAAAGATTCAAATGTTTTTGTTTTCTTCGAAGAACTCATATAATAAAAAAACAAAAATCTATTTTTGTAACCTTTCGGTCCAAGAATCAAATAAATATTGTTTAATTATTTAAAAATTAAGTATATATAGACATTCAAAAAGCTATTGTTAACGGTTAACTCCATATAAATAAATAATATAATCAAAGTACATTAGAGAATAAATATATACTCTCGAACTCAACATTTGTTGCAACAAACTTGATTTATTTTACATAGATATGAGTAGGTGGGAAGTTGAACTAATGATCTAAGTTTTCTGTCCATCATCTCCTCCCACGCATGTATGCTCTCTTCTATACGTCTCTTTTATCTATAAAAACCTCTGCATTATAGCTATAAAGATCATCCACGATTCATATTCTATAATTCATTTCTTGTTACTGTCTTTTGATAGATTATTTCAAAATTCAATGGCTACTTACTTTTTGACTTTTGTATCTTCTTTCATATTGAGTGCTTTTATGTTCGTGAGTTTCGACTGTTTTGTCATAGCGGTGAGTGCGAGACATCTTTTGGAGATGCCACTATCCAAGGTGCCTGAAGAGCTTCCGAAGCCAGAAGTACCCAGTTTGTCAAAGCTCGAACTTCCTCCATTGCCGAAGGTTGAGTTACCTCCTTTGGAAAAGCCTAAAGAGTCCGAATTGCCGAAATCTGAGCTCCCAAAATTATCTCAATTGTCTAAATTTGAGGTTCCCAAAGTACCAAAATTGCCCAACTTGCCTAAACCTAAACTCCCTAAGTTGCCTGAATTGACACCTCTCCCAAAGCCTGATTTGCCTACCCTTCCAAAGGACATTCCTATCCCTTCCTTCAACCCATCACATACATCTACCACTAAACCTTGAACACTGTATTCAACGGAACTAAACTTACCTCAAAGACGACAAAAGTGTAACAACAGGGGAAAATAATAATAATAATAATAATAATAATAAATAAATAAATAAATAAATAACTAATAAAAATATATATATAAAAAAAAACATTTGGTAACGGATCCCTTCTCCTTCCTTCCATCTCTCACCACTCCTTCCCTAAAAATAAATCTAGGAATAAATCAGGAATTCTCTTCTAGGAAGATTTACCCAGAATTTATTCGTTTCTACCAAAACAAATAGAAAAACAAAAAAAAAAAACAAAAGGTTTTAGCAGATTTAGTTCGGCCTAGGAGATACCTCATTTGAAGAGGTCAGTAGTAGTATGTTAAATCTCCCTCTTATTTTATTAAGTAATATTAATTTGGTTACAATTATTTAGTTTTGAATTAGATATTAAATGAAAAGAATTTTGCATGAGTTTTAGGAAATCACAACCAATTATATTTTAGATCTCCTAAATTGTTTAGATCTCCTGAATTGTTGCAATGATTAGGTTGTCAATAATTTTATATGAATTATAGGAAAAGAACCTAACCAAATGAATCGATTAAATTAAAAACTAAGAATATAATTGTTAACTAAATCAGACGGAAGAGAAAGGAAATAAGAAAGGAAATAAGAAAAAAAAAACTAAATAGAGATGGAAATCTAGAATACTGTTAAACGGAAAAGAGAGAAAAAATAAAAGTAAAAAAATAAAAAGGGAAGATTTGGAAAGAAGGTAGATTAACAAAATTGACCAATAATATCTCCAAAATAATTACAGCTAAGATGGAAGATGGAAGATTGAGAAGAGATTTTGTTGAACATAATTTTAAAAAAATAATACAGGAAACATAAGTGAGCAAGGAACTCCATCAAATTTCCTCTAACAGTAAATATCAGAATTTAAGAATGACCGATCTAAATTAGAGAAATAATTTTATAGAATTCAAACTTGAAATTGATGTCATGGTCTCACATAGGTTGACTTGGAGTTCAATGGACTTTCATCAAGGATAACGACGGAATCGAACTTTCATTAAGGATATATTCGTGACAACGACTTAAGCTAACCAGGTAAGTGACTTTACTGTCGGCATGGTTATATTTGATGTTGACACGTGTCCTGTGGTTCTGTACGTGTCATATATATTGATATGTGTGAATTGTCTGTGAATCGATAAGCTTTCTATATGTTATGTTATGTTATAATATGTGGTTTGTATGATAATAATTATGGTACGATGTGCTCAAGGATATGTTTGAGATAGGGTATGAGAAGGATGCACAAAACGAAATGTAACGATAGGAGTAAGATACGTTCATGAAACGTTAGAGTTAGGTTACATACCGGAGTGTTATGGATAGGAGAGATTAATGAAAGAATACGGTTAAGTTATGGGTAGAAAGGGATATGTTTGTGATAGATTGATAGAACGATAGCGTTAGGGTACGTTCTTGTGACGACATGACTAAGGTACGTCACGTAATGATATGTCTATTGTGAATGTTTGCTGAATCACCACACCTCAATGGGGGTGAGAGTTCTCTTATTTATAATTATTTTCAGAATACAGAAATATGGTAAATTACAAATATTATGGAAATAGTAATAAAAGGAAAGAATAATAAATGAATGCAATATATTTGCCTTTAATAAGAGGGCAAATATGGTAACCCGTAATGTAAGGCAAATATCTAGATATTTGCCTTATAGTGACGGTCAACTATCCTTAACACCCCCCCGCAAGCTGAGCGTCGGATTTGAACGAACGTAAAGCTTGGATCTGAAAAATTCAAAGAGAGGTCGAGAAATACTCTTTGTGAAGATGTCAGCAACTTGGAGATGAGAGGGTACATATTGTGTGCGAAGTTTGCCAGCGATAACAAGTTCTCGAAGGAAATGATAATCTAGTTCAACATGTTTGGCCCGCTTGTGAGAAACGGGATTAGAGCTCAAAAAAATAGCACTTTTGTTGTCACATAAGAGTAAGGGCTGCTTTGAAATAGGGACCTTGAGGTCATGCAAAAGATGCGTAACCCAAAGAAGTTCAGCAGCGGTTGTGGCAAGAGCACGATACTCAGATTCACAGCTGGAGCGTGAGACAGTAGGTTGCTTTTTGGCACTCCAAGAAACCAGATTGTTACCAAGATAAATAGAATAGCCGGATGTAGAACGACGAGTATCGGGACAACCAGCCCAGTCAGCATCCGAATAAGCGACTAGCGTACTAGGAACATTGGATGGACGAAAGGTAAGACCAAAGTGGAGTGTTCCTTTGACATAGCGAAGAATACGTTTGACAGCAAGAAAGTGATCTGCAGTAGGGGCATGCAAGAATTGACTGACAGAATTGACAGCATAGGCAATATCTGGACGCGTAATAGTCAAGTACTGAAGGGCGCCAACAAGAGATCTGTAGAGAGTAGGATCAGAGAAAGGAGAACCATCAGCAGTCAAGTGTTGAGAAACAACCATAGGAGTGTGAACTGGTTTGCTATCGAGCAACTGAGCACGAGTAAGAATATCTCGAGCATATTTTAACTGACTAATAAAGAGACCATCAGGAGTGGGTGAAGCTTCAAGACCAAGAAAGTAACTGAGAGAACCCAAATCTTTGGTAGCAAACTCAGAATGAAGCTTGCGAGTAAAGCTGTCAATAAGAGATGAGTTGTTGCCGGTAACAATAATGTCATCAACATAAAGAAGCAAATAGATAATGTTAGATTGCTGATGAAAGACAAAAAGGGACGTGTCAGCGCGACTGCAAGAAAACCCAAGTGTGAGAAGAAATGAGCTAAAACGCTGAAACCAAGCACGAGGAGCTTGCTTTAAACCATAGAGGGCTTTCTTTAATAGACAAACATGAGTGGGAAATCGAGGATCAATATACCCAGGAGGTTGTTCCATATGAACACGTTCAATAAGAGTTCCATTGAGAAAAGCATTCTTGACATCAAGTTGTCGAAGAGGCCATTTATTTGTGACTGCAATAGAAAGCACAACACGGACAGTGGTAGCTTTGACAACCGGACTGAAAGTGTCAGTGTAGTCAAGACCAGGAACCTGAGTATAACCTTTGGCAACAAGACGAGCCTTGAAACGCTCGACAGATCCATCAGGCAAATATTTAATACGAAACACCCATTTAGAGCCCACGATGTTGGTGTTAGCAGGGCGAGGAACCAAAGTCCAAGTATCATTTTGTTGTAATGCTTGAATTTCTTCATCCATGGCAGCCACCCAAGCAGGATTCTTAGCCGCAGATTTGAATCCTTTTGGCTCAGTGGATGCAAGAAGAGCAGAAAGAAGTCCAGATGAGCCCAAAATACCAAGATTTGCTGGATGACGAGTCTTGAATATACCAGCTTTGGCTCGTGTGATCATAGGATGAGTGCCCAAAGAAGAGAAATCAACAGGAGGTTCAATAGAGGTCGAATTAGAAGTCGAAGGTGGCAAAGTGGAACCTGCAAGAGAAGTATCAACCTGCACAGACTCATCTACAAGGTCAGAACAAATATCACACGGGGATGAACTGGATCGAGGAGTTTGCGGTGATGAAGTGGTAGGGGGGGATGAATCAATATGATGAAAATGTGGTTCTAAGAAATTTGAAATAGGAATAGAGGAAAGAGGTTGGGTCTGGGAGCTAGGGATAGCAGGAAAGTGGGTTTCATCAAATTGAGCATGACAGGTGATATATAGCTTAGTGGTGGCCGGATCAAGACAGCGAAACCCTTTATGAGCAGGACTATAACCCAAAAAAATACAAGGAATGCTGCGGGGAGAAAGCTTGTTAGGCATATAATCACGCAAATAAGGATAAACACGACAACCAAAGGGATGAAAATTGTCATAATGTGGAGTGTAGCCATAAAGGAGTTCAAAGGGTGACTTACCTCCAAGAAGTGGAGTAGGCAACCGGTTGATAATATAAGCTGCAGTGCTGAAGGCGTCAACCCAAAAACGAGAAGAAAGATGAGAGTGAAAGAGAAGGGCCAAGCCAGTCTCAGTCACATGACGATGTTTTCTCTCAGCACGACCATTTTGAGCAGGTGTATATGGACAAGAGAGTTGATGGTGGATGCCAGAATTACGTAAATGAGTTTTGAAACAAGTATTAGTAAATTCGGTACCACCATCACTTTGAAATACCTTGATACGAGAAGAATATTGATTTTCCACAAATTTTTGAAATTGAAGAAAAATATCAAAAAAATCAGATTTAAATTTTAAAGGGTAAAACCAAGTGAATCGAGAATAATCATCAATAAAAATAACATAATAAAGGAAACCCGAATTTGATTTGACGGGAGAAGGACCCCAAAGATCACAATGAATAAGATCTAACACATGAGACGACCTACGTTCATTGCGGGAATAAGGCAATCGATGACTTTTTGCAAGCTGACAGGTATTACATAATGATGGAGAAGGCAATAAAGACGTAAGAGAAAGATGACCTTTTCTATTTAAAAAAGAAATAACAGAATGATTCACATGACCTAGACGAGCATGCCATAAATCATATGAAGCACGTAAAGATTTGTTTCTAAGGGCTGAAATAAAAGCAGAGTTGCCGCGCTCCAGCACATATAGCCCTCCATCTCTTTTACCGGTTGCCACCACCCTTCCTGTTTGACGATTCTGGATAGTAATAAGATTATTAGTAAATGTAACGGAGAGAGGAAAATCAGACGTTAATTTACTTATGGAAAGAAGATTTTTAGTGAGGTGAGGGACAACCAAGACATCTAACAAGTGAATATTTGGAACAGGTGAAAGAGTACCGGTGTGGGTAATGGGTAGGGAAGCACCGTTTCCTACAATCACAGAGTCCTTACCCGTGTAATTTTTAGACTGATCCAAAATAGATGGGTCGGCAGTCATATGGGCCGAAGCTCCAGTGTCCAGAAACCAATCAGCAGTATCGGGTCCAGCAATAGAACATGACGTGTTAAAGGCTTCAGCAAGGTGAGCATGA